CTTCCCCAGAGCTTTCGACCATATCCCACCACCTTCTTTAGAGCACATTTTAAAAGCTTCGTACGTAGTTCCCTTCACTGTAATCCGATTATTATATATATTTATGAATATATTGAATCACAGAAAATTGTTGAAACTGATTACATCAAAAAATTTAAGTTACACAAACTCAGTTTTTTAAGTTCAAACTAATTATTGATTAAGCAGCTTTTATTGGTATTTTTGCGTGACATTAACTTAGTTTTGTATGTTACAAAAACATTCCTGATTAAAAAAAAAGTCGGTGCCACTTAAAACTACTAAAACTACTTGATCAAGAATGTTTTTTCAACTTACAAAATTACTTAGTTTTGCTTAAAAGTCTTTAATTTAATAATTTTCAACAATATTTTGAGTTAAATTAACTTACCTGGTCCTGTTGTCGAAAGCTCTAGAAAAAAGCAAGTAAGTGAACTTTGAGTCTACGCTCAAATCAATATTATATATGACTTTAAACCATATTTTTAATATACATTTATAGATATTGTGTGTAATGTGACATTTTTAAAATAATATTCAGGGTTTTTTTTATTAATCACAGAATACAGTTTTAAATAATTTTACATAAAATAGCTAAACTTTAATACTTTTTATGTATTTTCACTCAGTTTCAAACCTTTTTTTGATGCCAAGGAATACTACTTCAGACCTGCATATAAATATGTTCAGTAACACTTAAATCCTTTATTTACACATTAAATAAAGGCTTAATAACATACTGTAATGTATTTGCACAATAAGGTTCATATAGTGACATTTTAACTCTTATTAATAACAACTTCTCCTTTGAGGACATATTTTATATAATTAGTTTTACTGTATTATTATTATTTATGTTTATGCAGCAGCCTCAACAGTAGGAGTCAAATTAATTAAAAGCGTATCTGCTTACAACCACATTATAGTGTGTTGTAAACTATTTGATAAATGTTTACTAATAATAATTTAAAGTGTCGCCTGCTTCGACCACACGGTGTCAGCAGAGGACTTCCTGTATCTCACTGTTCAGTGTTTTTAATCTGCAAAACATGTTAAATTATGTTTAAAAGCAAATTCATTCAAATTCTTTAAATCACAACATGTTTTTATCACAAGTACCTGATGAAAAATAAGATTAATGCAGTTTTTTGTTGTAAATGAGGCCACAAAATACAATTTTCTTTCCTTTTTCATTGTATTTTTGTTTTTAGAAAACTTCTAACATTTTAGTTTAATTAGAAACAATCATATTAACATTTTACTGTATTTATAAAGTCTCCAGTCAGTTTGATAAATGATTGTTAATAAGGTTTGAATATAGTTAATTACTAATATCTGATGATTACTTACTGAATGACATCAAAACGACTTTATCAAAGCACTTTTTTTAATGTCATTTAATTTTTACTAGAAAGTTTCTGTACCTTGTTCCTCCATTGATAAATAAGTGATTGTTTCCTGATCGACCTTATTGATCAGAGATGGTTCGGTCTAACAGAAGGTGAGCAAAAGTTTGATTTTCTGTTAAATGTTTTTTTAAGGTTTCATGTTGCAGAAATTTCTGATCAGACATTCAGTAAATGTTACCTGCAGTCAGTGAAGTTGTTGATCTTCACTGTTGTTTTTAATTTATATTCCTGTTGTATTTCCAGTTGCTGTGTCTGAATCCAGGATGAAGTGCAGCAGCACAAATACAACAAATAAGGTAAGTTTTTAAGTCTCATTGTATCTTTATGACTCTGTATGTTTTTACTGTTAACAGTGGTAAAATGCTATTTTGTTAAAAACCAATGTCACGTCATAAATACCATAATTACCAGTTTTTAATGCTAATGTAATCAATATATTGCAGTATTGACTGTATTTATAGCCCTCACATGGTCAGTTTTACAGTCATTTAAACACTTGAGTTGTCCAATCATGTGGACAAAGTTGTAAACATGTAAATATTTCCCATCTGTAACTTTGTCTCCTTGATATGAACACAAAAGGTTCAGACGTTATCTGAAAAGAGTCACATTAATCACTGTTAGCCAGTGTTAGCAAAAAGGCAAAATTCAACAAATTGTGTCAGTTTTAACTATTTAAAGCTGCAGTAGGTCATTTTTCTTAAAATATTGTTTGTCATATTTAGTAAAACTTTCACTATATCCTGAC